TATGTATGTATAATAAAAAGTAGTAAATCCTGCACGAATATTGTTGTTGTTGTCTAAAATTGAAGCTCTTATAAACATAGTAAAGCTGTAATCTTAGATAGCGTGTCCAAATGTTCCCCCGACTAAAAAAGAAAAAAAAAGAAAAAAAAAAGAAAAAGAAAAACCAAAGTAACGCGAAACACACGACATACACAAGTAACCGTAGTGCCAAGGCGGTTGCGGATGTTAGAACGGCACTGCATACCCTAAAGTGTATTTCGTATGGAGCATATATAGTTCTACATATAATATATACATGATCATTCCTTTCTCACATGAAAGTAATATTGAACGATTCGATAAATTATATGTAATAATCTACGTACCTTCATATTTTAATATGTAATATATGTAATATTTATAAATCAGATGAATTTTATTGTTTATCGGTGGATAATTTAAAAGACGATTTAGCCGATCTTTACAGCGGTTATTGACTATAGTGAAATGTGAGATATTTCTTTATGCTAAAGAGAAACATTATAGGTTTCTGTGTATTATTTGTTGAAATAGAAATATGTGCAATGTAAATTATTATTGTATAATATACGTTCGATAACTTGGCTCGAACAAATCCTCAAAGTATTCCAAAATACTCCTCTTTGATGCTTTTTCATTATTGCCATTCTGTGACAGACATACATACATACATATATACATAAAATACTATCCGGTGGTAATAAATTGGATAATAATTAAAATACTATAAGGTACATAAAAAAACATCATGCAATTTTTTGGATAATGAATGAAATACAGAGCCTGAAATCTGTGTTGCCTTCTAATAAACTCTATCTTTCTTTTTTTTTTTTAATGTGTAATATATTTACTTGATAATAATTAGAAAACAGCATATTTTGCTGTGCAACATTATATATTGTCTTATTGTGGAATAGCTTATCTTTTATCATATATGCATATATGTACTTTGTTGCAATAGTATAAATTACCAAATTACTTAAATATCAGCGATATATAAATGATAGGATAATTAATCTGAGAAGTTTTCCAATTAGACTGGTTTTAATATTTAAGCCTGCTTTGATAACCTTATTGTTTCACAAATGTTCAAATAAATATATTTTTCTCATCTAGTTTTGTATTATATGAATTATATATATGTTTAATATGAATTTATTTAAAGATGTATAATGTTGGCCCATTTCTTCGTAATTTTTTAAAAAAATTTTAGTATTAATAACTGTTGCAAATATAGATTCTCTGTTAAAAATATATTAGCTATTATATAATATATACTTTATATATATAAAAGAACTATAAAAGAGGTTTAATTTTGTTTCATATATATATGCATACATATTGAATAATAATCTCTATCAATTTGTATAGTCAAACACACACAGTTTGATTTACATGATGCACTTATAAATATTTATGGTCTTCTTGCACTTCAATTCAAAATTATAAGATGTTTACCATTATAGTATAATAATGAATAAATAAAATTTAATATTAATCGCCTAATAATTTTAAGCGTTCTTTTCTTTATATATGGAACATTACAGAAAAGAAAAATTTTCTAGAAATATATAAAATATCAGTATTTATACATTGCATATACATGTATGATTATGAATATTTTTGTGAATCTTTATTTGAACCATTGTAAGCAAAATCGATGGCATTGTATACTCGATTATATAATAAATATGTGCAAATTATAAGTATCAGAGATATTCAGCTTTTAAAATATATATATATATACATATATATATATATGTATATATATATATAGACACACACACACACACTATTTATTATACGAACATATTGTATATTACTATTACTATTACTATTAAATTCATTTTTTATTTATATGCAATAATATTATATTTTATAAAATAGAGAAGATGAATAATTTATATTCGGAGAAAATATCTAATTTCTATAAGTAGTTTCTATGTTCTTTTTTTAAAGATTCAACTGTTGTAATGCATAGCCCTTTTTAATATAATGCAGTATTACATTTTATTGTAACGGTATAAAGAGTGAAATATATCGCTCTTCAAATGTGCCATTGATATAAAGATCCATATTCCCGTGAAATGTTTTTATGGACGACAACGTTCCAGGAAACGCGGGTATAAGCATACTTCACGGATGTGATACCTATTCAACAGCCAGCACAGAAACCGTTCTAATCCCAGTCCATAACCACCATGGGGACAAGATCCATATTTTCGCTGTAAAATAAGTAATACAAAAATTATTTAATTTACTATCTATATATTATTCCACAATCGCGATTTTTACAAGATATAATATTTTTCCTTATTTACCTGGTCCGTGTACCAATAATACGGAGTCGGATCGATATTTTCACGTTTATAACCCTCCATCAACTCTTCATAATTCCAGATACGCATCGAACCGCCAACAATTTCGCCCACGTTCGGCAAAAGTACATCGACGGATTCGGTTAAGCGTTCATCTTCCGCGCAACGCGGCATATAAAACGATTTAATTTCAGCGGGGAAACGGCAAAGCAGTATCGGCTCATTGATAGCGTCAGTCATTTTTCTCTCCGGCATCTCTGGAATGTCCTACCGAGAATGATTACGAGATTACAAGTCTTGTCTTGGGAAGAAAACGCGAGATATAGGAGAGGTATGAGAACTTATTCCTACTTCACCAAACTCGTAGAAGCTGCCGTCTTCTTTCGTGATATTGTTTTCTCTCAGATATTCGATCGCGTCGCTGTAGTTCATTCGCTTGAAAGGCCTCTTGGGCATTTGAAACCCGGGATTCAATTCCTGGACAAGATGACCGAGCGGTGACTGTAGAACTCGTTCGACTACATCGCAAATTAAGTCTTCTAATCGATCGAGTAGATCGTCGAACGTGATAAACGGGCATTCTGCTTCAATGTGCGTGTATCTGAGAAATCATAATTTAACAATTAAAGAATAATTACAAAAACACAGATATATTAGTTGAATATACAAAGAAATTTGTATACATACTCGGCAAGGTGGCGACGTGTTCTCGATTGCTCTGCTCGATAAGATTGTGCGATGCAATATACATCTCCCATTGCTGGAATACAAGTTTCAAGATATAGTTGAGAACTCTGAGTAAGAAAAGCGTTTTCTCTGAAAAAGATATTAATTCATTGATTTGTATCTATATACTTAACAATTTGTTCTATTCGTCTAATACATACCCGAAGTAATCTAATTTGAAGAGAGTTGAACCACCTTCCACTTGAGTTTGCACTAAAGTTGGTGGAGTTACCTCACAATAACCGCGATCTTTGTAATGATCTCTAAATGCTTGAATTAATATAGATCTCATGATTAAGATTCTTGATGTCTGAAATAGATAATAATTATCTTTATGATGACTTAACTTTAACAAAAATTTATTAATTCCAAAAACAGAAATTTTGTCTATACATTTTCCCCTCGAATCATTATATGCCTGTTGTCCAATTGTACATCAGGCAGAGCTTCTTCATTCAGAATTGAATCAGCCCCACCAGGAGGCGACGGACCAATAAGTTCCCAATAATCAACGTGCAATTCATGCCCACCAGGTGCCTGAAATTAAGCAATAATGCATATATAAATATACATTTCACCTAGGTAATCAATAATATTTGTCTGACATAATTAATGTACATTCTTTCCTTCAGGGACAACTTTCAAGATTCCAAACAATTGAACAGCAGCTTCCGTGGCAAGAGTCAAGGCGTTATATGTTTGACAAAGTTTATTGTTCAGTACACATTGTAGAAAACCTGTCCCATCTCGCAATGTGATGAACATGAGAGCTTTGCCTATAGTGAAAATTAATTGATAAATTATCTTATAACAGAAATATATTAAAGTTAAAGTTAATATCACATACCTTGCCTTCTTAGTCTATGCACCCATCCAAGCAGCTTAACTCTTTGATCTCTATGATTCAGAGCTTCTTTTATTTTAATTTGTTTTGCTTTCGATAGAGATTTGTCCTCTTCTATGACAATTGCCTTAGCCTCTTCAAGATTTTTTAACCTCTTTTCCTCATCCTCCAGTAATTTCTTCTCCTTTTCTTCATTCTTATATTGTTCTCTAACCCAAATCTTTTGTATCTTCTTTAATTGAGTTTTAGATGCTGGTTCATACTTTTTGCCATCTTCACGAGAATCCTGGTAGATAACTGGAAAGGGTTCCTTACCAGCATGACGCATGGCTCTTAGGATAGTTTTAAAAGGGTTTTTGTCCGAACCATCTCCTGTCTCGTCACTACCATTCTTTTCCGATGTATAAATACCTTGTAAAATATTTTTCTTTCATTATATATAATTATAAATGTTATTTAATTATATATAAATATGTATTATATGTAATATGTATTAATATTATATATAACATATGTATATATATTGTATTATATAGACCAATGTATATAATTTTATATTATTATCTTTTATATTATTATATCTGTTTATGATTGTTACTATAGTTATGATCTTTTGTTACATTATGATGCAATTTACCTATTGATGATGATACTTTTTTATCAGACATATCGACTTCTAATTTACTTCCAAGTATGTATATAGCTGAATATACTGTAATGCAAAGAAACATTTAGTTATTAAATTATAATTTCCAATTATAATTTTCATATAGTATCATGCTACTACATAATGTTAATATATAGAAAATATAGATTTTAGAATAAAATATAAAAATAAGATCTTATTACGTGTTAACACATGTACAAGATATTTTTTTTAATGTGCAAAATAAAAGATATCCTCTAACCTGTATTCTTTCGTTGGCAGGTAATTACACCCAAGGTTATTGGAACAATTTTAAAGAATAGTTCTTTTTACTGCAAACTTGTCCGATATAAATGCAATAAGATGCAATATGTTATCATCCACGTTTCACACAGTTCTGCACTGTTCTGCGATCGTTGAATCCGGTATCCGGTATGATAGGTACATGGTACATACATAATATAGCATAATAGCATACAGGAGGATTTTACCCACAGTGCTTTGCAGGTGAGTTGCGCAATCGAAAACTCAAATTTTGAAATATTGAATTATTAGCTTATATCTCTCAATTTTGTCTTATTATATTTTGTTTTTTAAATAATAATTCTGTTAATTAAATAAATAATATTAGGTAAGAGAGAGAGATAATTCCTTTAATTATATACATTTGTATATATACATTTTGCAAAAATAATAATTAATCTTATTAAACTTGGATAAAATTAATAAAAAGTTATTAAATTTTTCTTGTGTGTGTGTATATTTTGTGTATATCTTTAGATCTATATAAATTATTTCGTAAAATTATAAAAGTGATATATGAGAATACAATGAAATATTTTATTGAACAAATTGATTATATATACATACATTTTTCAAAATTATCATATATATGCATATGTTGTGCATTTTTTATCTCAATTATATATTATAACAATAAAGTTTAGTTATGATATACAAAATTCTTTACTCAAAAATATTTATAATATAAAGAAATTATGAATATAAGTTTTTTTAAACGTATGTTGCTTATATAGAACTATTTTTTCTCTTGCGTGTCCTGGCACTTTGTTCTGGCATATAAAATGTAATACACTAAAATAAAAATTCCAAATTATTTATATATATAATTCTTTAGTTATTGTAATTAGTTGTAATTATATTACATAAGTTTAAAGACAAAGGAAATAAACCTGCTCATCCAAGAAATTCATAAGATTAGAAAGCTTGCATTTAAATCCGTGTGTCCGCAATGTATGATGCAACTCTTTAATATTTACAGGTTCATATTGCAATATTTTATTATGTAAATCTTTATCAACATCAAGCAATCCCGTAAAGGCTTCTAGAATGTTGGATGGATTTTCCAGTAATGACTCAGTTTCAGAAAGTTCCATTTCTTTGTCGATTGGATCTTTTCCAGAACTTATATCGCTATCACTGCAATGGACACAGGTAATATTATCATTGTGTGACTATATAAAATATATTTTAATTGTGCATTATTTAAAAGAATATTTAATATTTATACTAGACCTATTTTGGGAATAAAGTAATTTGTCATCATTGTCTTCTACATCACATAATTTTTCCAAACTATTATTATCCACATTTCGTTTTTTCGACGGTGGACCCTCATCTTCATCGCTTGAAATTTCAGTGACTTCCTGCATTGATGTTATTTCAGCTATAGGCACTAAAGGGTGAAGTTCATTATAAATGTGCGTTAACAATTTCACAGCCCTGTCACGTTTTTGTACCTTTAATCCGTATTTCTTCATTTCTTCCTAGAAATTAAATAATATGTTCATAAGAAAAAAAAACAAATTATCATATATATGCATATGTTGTGCATTTTTTATCTCAATTATATATTATAACAATAAAGTTTAGTTATGATATACAAAATTCTTTACTCAAAAATATTTATAATATAAAGAAATTATGAATATAAGTTTTTTTAAACGTATGTTTTTTGCTTATATAGAACTATTTTTTCTCTTGCGTGTCCTGGCAGTTCTGGCATATATATAAAATGTAATACACTAAAATAAAAATTCCAAATTATTTATATATATAATTCTTTAGTTATTGTAATTAGTTGTCAATTATATTACATAAGTTTAAAGACAAAGGAAATAAACCTGCTCATCCAAGAAATTCATAAGATTAGAAAGCTTGCATTTAAATCCGTGTGTCCGCAATGTATGATGCAACTCTTTAATATTTACAGGTTCATATTGCAATATTTTATTATGTAAATCTTTATCAACATCAAGCAATCCCGTAAAGGCTTCTAGAATGTTGGATGGATTTTCCAGTAATGACTCAGTTTCAGAAAGTTCCATTTCTTTGTCGATTGGATCTTTTCCAGAACTTATATCGCTATCACTGCAATGGACACAGGTAATATTATCATTGTGTGACTATATAAAATATATTTTAATTGTGCATTATTTAAAAGAATATTTAATATTTATACTAGACCTATTTTGGGAATAAAGTAATTTGTCATCATTGTCTTCTACATCACATAATTTTTCCAAACTATTATTATCCACATTTCGTTTTTTCGACGGTGGACCCTCATCTTCATCGCTTGAAATTTCAGTGACTTCCTGCATTGATGTTATTTCAGCTATAGGCACTAAAGGGTGAAGTTCATTATAAATGTGTGTTAACAATTTCACAGCCCTGTCACGTTTTTGTACCTTTAATCCATATTTCTTCATTTCTTCCTAGAAATTAAATAATATGTTCATAAGAAAAAAAAACACACTTTCATATTTTTTATAATAGCTTATTATTATCAGTAAACTTACATGTAATTGGGGAGTTTTCATGCCAATGTAATCAGGCGGAGGTGTAACATCTTTTTCAATAATTTTGAGTGCAGTTTTCGTATTTCCTATGTTCTTATTGTAAATACATTTAAATTGCACAGATGCATGTGTAGATGCCTCTTGATTATGATACCTATTTATGTTAATTTGCCCCTCAGATAAGGATTTCCTTTTAAATTTCCTAATGCTTGCAAAATTTTGTGTCAAAAACATGGCATTACTATCTAACTTTTCACAGACAGGTATGACATCACTATTGACCGTTGAACTGTTAACTCTGATATTTTCATCATTATTTTTATTATTGCATCTGTGTGCACTATGCTTTTTCAATTCTGTCATATTTAATACGCTAGTTGACTGACTCTTTTCCAAAACGTGCTTCCCATACATATCAATATCAACGTTTGCAAGATATATTTCATCTTCAAAATTAATAGAAAGTTTGCCCGATTTTCTTGATTCTCCAGTTTCTGATGTAAGTTCACCATAATGTTCATCTAAGAGTAAGTTTTCTACATCTGAAAACTCTGGACTGGAGGGTACCATAATCGGGCTCGAAATAGATTTTTCCTTTTGATCATCACTCGATTCATTAAATCTGAACTTTTTCTGCATGAAAATCATATTACAATCTATATCATTAGATACCATATCTGTATTGCTAGCATTGAATCCCTCTCGATCTGATTTAGTTGAACTATTAAAATCTTTTTCCTCCTCTAAATCTATGATTAGGGCTTTTGGAATATGTCCAACTCGGACCAATTGATTACTTTTTTGATTTTCTATATCTTGTTTGTCATATTCTGTTGTTCTTTTAGATTGCTGCGTAGAACAAGGCATAATATCTTCATGATCAGAGTCATCTTTTTTCGAAACGACAGAACGGCTAATACTAGAAGATATGTTTTCAACTTCTGTATCCGAAACAATTATATTTGCGTCTTTCTGTGTTAAAACAGATTTATCCAGAACATCACTTTCAGTATCATTGGTGATATCACTGTTTTTACTGATTGAATCAGATGATGTACTTTTGTTAGATAAACTATCATTCAATCCAGTTTTCCTGATTGCTGCACGATAGTTTGCTATACTATTCTCTTTGTGATCTTTCATGTATTTAGAATACATAGAAACCTCTTCTTCGTCCGTTTCTACATCAAGAACAGTTTCGTTAAGCGATTGATTCGCTGTTTCAATATGTGGTGAACATACTGCTGGTAATGGTGTAGTGACTGCAATTTGTTCCAAAATATTAACATCCTTCTCAGTTGAAGTGAAGCTTTGTGTATTATTACACGAAGATTCCATTGTCATCTTGAATGTAGGAACCATATGCAAAGTATTAATTTGTTTAATGTCTACATCTTTTTTAGAAAGACGGGTATAAAATTCCGGATTCTTATCGGCATACGATCGCATACGCTGCTCTATTATGCTTAATCGACTAGGTTTTTTTTCTGCATCAATTGACTGTTCAATATTATCATTATAAGATTGAGAATCTTCAGAGTTATTGTACCTATTTATATGAAATGGATTCTTATGCTTTATAGGAGATATTTCTACAGAATATTCTATATCAGAAGCTAAATCCGAATCCAATTTCGCATTTTGTCTTTCCATCTCTTCGATGAATAATGTAAGATTACTTTTCTGTTTTGTTAATTTCAAAGAAGAATCCTGGATAGATTTCGGCTTACTGCTTTGAGGAGTATCGATTAAAGAATTTTCGTATTTATTGTCAATAAATAGCTTTTGAGAGTTCGACTCAAAATCTGAATGAATCTCCATTACATTTTCTTCCACATTATCCAGATTGATGGGTATATCTTTGCCTAATTGCAAATATTCTGCGCTCTGTTTTTTTTCAGTTAATGATGTTTGACTACAGATATCAACATCTTTATCTTGTTTGATTAAACTAAATAATATGTGAATATTAGAATCTTCGTGATCGTTAGAATGTGCTATGGATTTACGTATCATCATATCAGGTGTATCATCGAACATATCAGGTGATGGGTTAGAAATTTCCAAATTCGTGGGTGTGTTACTTCTGGAATTTATATCCTCTGATGTTCTTATTAAAGTAGGTTTTTCATCTTGCAGAAGACAAGAGTTTTTTACAGATATGTAATTATCTTCAAGAGGATGTAAATTATCATTAACATTCTCTTGTGATAACATTCTTTGAATGTTTTCTGAGTCACATATACGATTCGGTGATGCATTAAAAGAAGATTTGCCTGTATTTGAAACATTTAAAGTCTTTATCATATCTGCATATACATTTTCTGTACTTTTTCCGCAAATCTCGTGTTTGGTTCCTGTTATATTAGATTTAAATTCTTTTTGACGTAAATAAACAAATAAATCATTTACTTTGTATTTTCTTGCTAAAAATCTAATATCAGATAACGATGTCTCAGAATTGAATATTTTTGTATGTTCGTTGATTACTCCACAATAGATAAATTCTAAAAAGGCTGAGGCAACATCATAGTCTGTATCAATCCAACAAATTTTTTCTTTTGCAGTAGAGAACTCTGTATCGTTGGAAATTACATCAAGCAAAATATTTGAACAACGCGCATAGAAAACTAATTTGTGTGCCCAAATGTGCCCGGCATTTTTCACAAATATGATAATATCACTTGCAGAACTGTCGTTTAGCATATTTCTCCAGCTTGTCGCAAGAATGTTAAGAAATGTCTTTTCTTTGCAACATGTCTTGATTGCATTTGAAGAAATTAATTCTTCATTGTTATCCACTTTTATACCTTTCATTTCTTTCGTTTCTAATATTTGTTTGTCATTTGAAGTAATTTTGTTATCTATGTTTTGTTCCATAAGCTTTTTAACATTCTGCTCTTCCTATAAAATATGTAACATCATTATATATAACATTTAATATACATACATATTATATAATATTCTTAAATGTGTATAATTTACTGAAAAAACAGTCAAAACTTACATTTAATTCCTGCTCTTTCTTTTCTAATGGTGTTATGTGAGGCGATAGTTGTTTTACATAAAATACTTTTTGAGTTGGAGTTAATCTCGTCCTATCCCACAATTTGTTTTCCTTGAAAACAATGAGACACAGATCTTAAAGTCTGCGAGCATATTCGATTCGGAAAATTTCAATTACATCATAAATCAAATATAGTTACAGTTTGATGCAATCGCTGAAGTAGTTGATTTTTTAGAACAATTTTTTCTTTGATATTGTTAGCTTGTTCTCCTTGCGATCTTTGAGTAAAATCTGTATAGGCCATAAGTATTTCTGCTATCCTCTCTGTTAAAATACGTTCTTTTTCAGCAGCTGTACGTCTTTGTAGAATAGTCGGTTCGATAGGTTTTCCTTCTTAAAAAACAGAAAGAAAAAAAAATAAAAATTAAGATATGTACATAAACTTGTGTTAATTATTGGCAGTTATTGGTTTTTTATCAACTGTATAAAGTAATTTATAAGTACTTTTTTTAATCTTATTTGTAGGCCAACTTTTTGTTGGTGATATATTTTTACTGCTAGTAAAACCAAAGCTTTGTAACGTCGCTTTCTGAGAATATTCTGCGTTATTATCTGGCAATGATGAACTAGATGATATAGCCACGATTTGAGCCTCATCCCACTCTTCCATTTCTTCTTTTTCATATAGAGATTTGGAAAGCGCTAAAGCGAGCTGTAAATCGGGATCATCGTGTGACGTCTGGAAAAATTTATGTGTATTTAAAATTTACAATTGATTTGAAAGCTTATTGTTTTGTTATTAATAGTTTGAGGACCACAGGGATTATCAGCCATAATACTACATAATACTAAATAAATTTAAATTTTTGGGTAGGACATGAAGAAATGATTACCATTCATTGGCACTCAAAAGGTTTAATACTTACCATTTTACGTGAAACAGGTTTCTTCTTATCTTGTAATATAGGAGCAGAGAGTAAACCTAACGATTTTCTTTCTGCAGCTTGCCGTTCTTGCAGATCCATGGCATTCATTAATGTTTTTGTTGTCACATTATTTTTTATCGCACAACTCTTCATATGTATGGTTTGTAAGCTTTCATCTTTAAAATTTTTAAAGCACAATGGACATACATAAGCTGTTTTCACATTAGTTGAACTCTGTGGTGAATCTACCTCTTTTTTTTCAGATTTAAAAAAGGATGACTCAATTGATGGTTGTTGTACATCATGTTGAACCTTTTTGTTCAATAATTTATTGCCTTCGAGTTTTCTCCCATTGTTAATTACTTTAGATTTACTGCAGAGCACTTTCTTTTTTGATTTATCTAGAAGTCTATTGCTCTGAATAATTTTTGTTTGCACAGTATTTTTTCTTTTTGGTGATTTGAAATCCAATATACTGTCATCATCACATGGAAATTGAGATGTGCATGCAGTATCATTTTTTTTGTTTTCATTATTGGAATCATTAGAAAGATAAGTTTTATTATCTATACTGTGAATAGAGAAGAATATTTTATACAGTTTCAAATATTATGCATCATATGTCATTAATATAAAAAATAATTATTTACAGGATGAAAATTTAACAAGGAAAAAAGTATAATGAAAAAATTGTGGAATGTTTTTTAAAATATAATTTATACATATATTTTTTTTCACATCACATTTTTTTTTAGGAAGAGATACATGTCAGTAAATCAAACTACAAAAGCTATACAAGAAAGGCTATTTAATATATTTTACATACATATTGTGGTACTACCTTTCCATATAATTTTTTTTTAATCTTAATCTTCTGTTTGGACTATTAGGCTTACGCAAACTATTTTTTCCGACATCCATTATTCTCATATATACTTTGGATATAATGTTACTTAATCTTTATTTGCCTGAATATCTTTTACTTGATCTTTTGACTCAGTATCTGTTTTCAATTTAGCTTCTCGTCTTTCTTCTAGCTTATCAATAACGCCTTTCATAAATGCACTTGTCATAAAATCATATGGCAAAGTACGATCGTCTTCGGAGATTTTATATTGTTCGTCGTTTAAATGCGGAAGAATACTATAATTATAGAATAATATTTGATTAAATTTGTATTATAAAATAAAGTCTACAAATTATAAATTGTAAATTATGTAACGTGTAAATTAAAATTGTAAAGTATAAATTAATATTCGAATATAAATTATAAATTTAAATGTTTAATAAATATACATATGTATATATAAAATAAATACCTACTTTTTTCTATAGGAATAGTACATTGCTCCAGCATACATAAGCGTTATAACGGCCGACGTGATCCGAATATATTTTTGCAACGATGTGTTTCTTAATCGGCGTGCTTTTCTGTACGTCTCATCTATGGGATCATGCTGCATTTCATACAGATCGAAAATGACAAAATATAATTTTAATAATGTCAGAGCGTGATTACAGGCGATGATAATTTTACACTGATCTTAACTTAACCTAAACCTAAACTATGTAAAGCGCAAGCATACATATATATATATACACACACATAAATACAGTGTGTGTAACTTGAAGTCTATAGACCCCTGATAGGTTTTTCACTTGGGCTCTGACAGAAACAGCGAGAGAACCAATCAGCATCACGGAAAAGAGACAGATGTCGATAACATGCCTTTTCTAGAGAAAGACTAGTCTATGACTTTATCCCACAGGTAGGATTTTTGAACGCAGTCCTTTACATTTTTTAAAGATGGCTAAAGATTACTCGAGATAGCGAATGTCGGAATACGCATCTTTCGCGCTCTAGAAAAGATCGGCAACAAAATATATTTCGTCAAGAAATAACGCGAGTTCTGAAATTCCGATTTAAATTTAGACTCGTAAATATTTTAATTAGAAGAGAGCGAATAGATATCGGATAAGAAGGAATCAGTATGACAGATTGTGTATGTCACAATAGAGACTACGTTTATTATCAAGCACAGATTATGGTAAACAAATAATACAAATAGATGCGAGGATTAAATATTACAGAAGATTACTGTTGTGCATAACTAATTACGCACAATGTCCTGTCAAATTAAAGGAATATCAAATATACCAGATATAGATAATGTTAAGAAATTACTTTATGGCAGTGCCATTAGCAAATGTAAGTTTTGCTTGACAACATTGATAGAATCATGCCATGTATTTATTATATATTTTAATATATATTCTTAAATCTGTGCATTTTAGTTGAGTATGTACCAAGCAATGAATTACCTCTTCAAGACTGTCATATATCATTGTCATCGGTTGGAGATGTGTTTGCAATGGCTTGGAATACAAAGATGATTATATTTGTTTGTAAGTATAAATCTTGTGTCTCTCATATTATTTATGTTTTTATCATATGCACATTCTTTCATTAATAACATACATATATCATTTCTAAGATTAATAATGCATTTAAAGTTGATGAGAGTTTTAAAATTATATAGTTTTTAATTTGTTGATAGCAAGATGGGATTCGCAAGAATTAGACGAAATAAAAAATAAATTCCACATAACATGGCATGGAGAAATAACAAAGGAACAGAAGTGAGTAATATTTTTAAGTCACATACTGTGAAAATATTATTCCAATTATAACAGAGGTACTTTTTTCAGTGAATGGATAACATCAGTGATCTGCTTACCTCTAATATCTTTAGGAAAGGCTAGTGGTCCAGATTGGACATGTATAGCTGTTGGGTATAATACAGGCTTTGTTAGATTCTATACAGAAGTAAAAACTTAATTTTTATTATTATTTTATTGTTAGTTTATTATACTATTGCATACTACTTTATTTCTTTTATATTAGACAGGTGCATTGCTCTTTGAGGAACAGATTCACAATGAATCAGTTCTAGGAATAAAATGTCAATCATTCTCGTTACCGAGACACGTTGGAGATGCTGGCTGTAGTGAAGAAATTTATATATTGTATAACAGTGGTGTCTGTATATTACAAGGATTTCCATTATTTTCAACTTTACGTGCATGTAGAAATCACTTGGCTAGAGGTATATATTCTCTATTACCTGCTACATTTATTTGGTTTAAGATTTTAATTTAATATTTTTTCTTTTTTACAGTTCAAGCTAACTGCAATGATTTACCACCAGTTCCAAACTTGTCATATAAAAAATGGGCATTTAAAAATCAAGATATTGCAAATGATTCAGAAGTAATTGGCACAACATCAATAAATAGTTTTGATCATTTCATGACAGCTTCAATTTGCGGCGGATATAATGCAATGTATAGATCTAGCGCGCCGCAACATAATTTAGTCGTTGCAACAGGAAAACGGCCGTTTGTAGGATTCCATTATGCATTGGAGGGTGGTAATGCACCAGTTCTATCAGATGTTGCCATTGCTATGGCTAGCAAATTGGCTAATGCTATTGGTACTGCTGTTCCGTAAGTACACCATGTATATATTATACAATATTTTCAAATAAGTTTAATAAGCTTTCCCAAAGAGATTAATTGTAACTAATACATTAATTCCTTCTTAGATGGTTTCGCGGCAGTTCGAAGAGTACGACATCTGAAGCATCAAAGGGTAACATTCACGAATCTGTAGAGACAATGAGCTGTCGGTTTGGTTTAAGCGATATTATGAGAGAAGGTGATTGCATTGTCTGCAGTCCAAATAAAATGTTATCGGTAATATCGGACGCTATGGGCAGAGTATTACTTATAAATAACAAAAGAGGCGTAGCTGTTAGAATGTGGAAAGGATACCGTGATGCTCAGTGTGGTTGGATCGAAGTTACCGAAGAGAGAGATCGTGGAGTCCACAAGAATATCAATAAATCTGGGCGAAAAACTTTATTGCGCACAGCGTTATTTCTAGTTATTTATGCGCCGAAGAAAGGTGTGATAGATATTTGGAACGTACAGCAAGGTCCAAAAATCACTACCTTTACCGCTAGTAAAAATGGACGGTAAGTCATAATCGTTATATTATTCTTTATCTTCTCTATATTTTGCTTATCTAATACAAGACAATTAATCTAATATATCCTTGTAGACTACTGCATATTAACTATGGTTTTCTGGGCGCAAATGATAATGCTATTTTGTCAAAGAATAAAGCGCAATACTCGTGTGTGTTTATGGATCCACTTGGAGGATTAAAGGAGATTTGTGTTCCGTTTCATTTTGCACTTAATAGTAAAAACGGAAAACGTGCGCGCGACATACATTTACTTAGGAAACTGAGAACATATCTGAGGGAAGAAGAATTTGATGAGGAAAAATTAGTTTTGGAAGTTACCAACACTTGTCTGGGATTAAAGACAAATGAAATTAAAGTACAGATGATAGAAGTCTTAATGAATAGCAAACATATTTTGCCAGATGCTTTGCTTGCTGCAATAAATTGTTTTGTGATAAAATCAGGTGTGTGTATATATGTGTGTGTTTGTGTATAATATATACTAGTATATAATGTAACATTGTATTAATGTTTTGTTAATATTACAGAAGAAGAAAAAGAATTAGATCCTACCGCTAAGATGCTTCATCAGTTGACTATGCAATTACAGCAAATAATTATATTTTATAAATATGTTAAGTCTCAACTTGACATTCCTCCTGAGTATAACATTGTAACAGCTGATAATGCACCAAGTCCTAAATATTTATCTTCGATATTATTGACTTCGGAACGAGAAGTACATCGTATTATTAAATTGGCCAAGATGATAAATAGTTTTAAGGATAATAATGTTTCGGCAGAAACTAAAGTCAAATTTAAAGAGGACGAAAAAATGTTCTTTAATTTTCTATCATGTTTTGAATTTGGTACATCAAAATTAATTGGACTACAAAAAGATCTAAAAAAGGAAACAATGAACGACATTTGTAAGTTTGTTTTGTAATGGCCATAACTTGCTATTATTGCATTAAATATGATGCAATTTTTAGCGCGACTAATATATCAAGGATGGATGTACTCGAATGATGTAAAAGAGAAATGGCAACAAGCTGCTAAAGATAGTAACATTCAACCATTCAATTTCATGGAATTAGCATTAATATATTGGACACAGAAAGAGGAAACCGTATCTTTGGAAGTTGAGCTGAAACGTTTTACGCAGCTTCTGCATGTTATTTGTTTGTTAACTGGTAGGTTTTGGCTAGAAAATGCTATGTATTATTTATGACATATATTGAAGTTGATTAACTTAAATTCAATAGATGTGGAAGATATATGTGTTGAATATAATGAAGTTTCTCTCTGGTGGAAAACCGTACGGACCATTTTAACAGAATCTACAAAACCATTTAATGCGCTTACCGCTGCATTAGCATGCAGAGCAATTGCTATAATTTTGGAGAAATATAAAGAAAAATTACAAAATCAGAAATTGTTGGAGACTAATGGCAACGAAGGTGAAGACATTAAAAATATAAATAATGTAACCAACATAGATAAAACGGAAAATAAACCGAGCGACATCACACCAGATGATGAAATGTACAGTTCAATTAGCGAATGGGAAAATGTTAGCAACGACACTTGTCAATTCACATTGTTAATTGGGAATCTTGAAGATATTACCATTTTGAATGCTGTTATTAGGTATATATTCTAATAATTAAATGTTGTGTCATAATAATATGTCATAATTTCTCTATTTCTAACAATAAACATTGCTTTAATTTTAGTCAGCAAGTTATACTAGACGAAACAACACAATTCTTCACTTTACCATTTACAAAAAATGATATTTCTTTAGCATTGATTATTTCCAAAGGAAAAGGTAAATAATTTAAACTTTACTTGTCAGTTATTTAATAATATTCTACTTTATAGTTCTTTCTTTATATATACTTGTCAGTTATTTAATAATATTCTACTTTATAGTTCTTTCTTTATATATACTTGTCAGTTATTTAATAATATTCTACTTTATAGTTCTTTCTTTATATATACTTGTCAGTTATTTAATAATATTCTACTTTATAGTTCTTTCTTTATTTTGATTCATTTGTATCAGGTTCTGTCTCTGAACTGGTCGCAAAATGGCTCAGTACAACAGGTATCGATCCAGTACGATTAATCGACACAACTGATGTGGAATTCGATCAGTTGCAATTATCAATAGATTCCTTACAATTGACTGATGCACTGGATGAAGCAACTGCCATTGAAGTACCTCAACAAGAACAACCAAAACTTCTTTCATTATCGGTAGAGATTGGAGATGAAGCAAAAACCAATATGACAGCAGAAGCATATATATTAGGCAAGAAATACACTTGAGAAAAATAATATCACTATTTACGTTTTATATAATTTCAATTTCTCTTCTTTTTTTCCAGACAAGATGATTTTACTTAAGCGCCATTTTCCCCACAGTTTAACGAGCAGTGTCTTGCTGGCCAATTTATGCTGGGAATTTGCCATGTCATGGAATAAAGATGTTACTCAATTAGATCTGCTCACAGCTGCTTTGACTGTTTTACAACAAATACCCATGAAAAATATGAAACATGGTAAGCAGCATTTTTATATTTTTTTTTCAGTGGAATACTTTTAAGATGAATATTTATATATATGCTATATGTGTGTTTATTTGATAGGCGTTTGCTGTCTAATGTGGACGCTTCATATAAAGAAAAGAATGGAAGCAGCGGCAAAGCTGATGAATAAGCTCGGAAAGTTGCCAAAGGAAAGATTGTGCATGCAAGACATTGGTTTGTCCGACATTCAACTTACAACGTTTCTACAGCACTGTGTCACTTTCTTGGATATATTTATTGACGTTAGTACATTGAATAGAATGTAGCGAGAATTATATAAAAATTTTTAAATGAGAAATAGGATTCTCTTTCTAGAAATCACATAAATTATTAAGCGAATTTTAACTTTAACCTATATATCCTAAAAACACCAGATATTCTTTTAATAGTAGATTTTCTGGCCAATTTGAGACGATTTTTTCTTAGTGAAAATGTCGAGGCATTTGAATTATAACGATTAAAAAAAAGAACTTTTCACAAATTAAACTTTGCGAAGTCAAAAGGTGAACAAAATTACATTCTTTAATTTCAGGTGTAATTGATTTTTTTTTGCTATTAAAGGACATCCAATAATTTTTTTGGAACGCTTTATATAAAGAAATATTAATTTACACTGTGCAGGACGAGATACTTAAACGAGGAGATGGTGCAACGATAAAATCGGAAGAATTATGGGATGGACATACCGGTGGACCACAACCATTTGCCACACTAGCTATTTCTCAAACGCCAGCTTGGTATGATTTGATCTTGTTACATGTACAAGTGGCAAATGTTCTGTACATGATGGCGTGTCTTAATTTGAAAATGCTAAAACCACTGAATAACTTGTTCGAGTCCGTAGTAAGTAAAGCACGCGGTGGTTAATTGCGTAAAGTCTATATATACAAACATATATATATATA